GCTGTCACCACCGCTGCCTCAGGTGGAGAGAAGCCCTGCTGCTCTGTGGGAAGAGGTGGAGGCAGTGGCAGGCGGGCAGGGGAGATGAAGCCGCCGCCACTGCCACCTCAGGCAAAGGGAAGCCCCGCTGCTCCATGGCGCTTCCCTCCATGGGAGAAGGTGGAGACGGAGGCAGGCAGGTGTGCAGGAGGGAGGAAGCCATCACCGCCACCTCCTCAGGCAGGGGAAAGCCCTGCTGCTCCACAGAAGGAGGCAGAGGTGGGTGGGCAGGAGGGAGCCACCACTGCCTCAGTTAAAGGGAAGCCCCACTGCTCCACAGGAGGAGGAGGAGGCAAAGGTAGGCAGGCATGCATGGGTGAGGGAGCTGCTGCCACTGCTGCCACCTCAGGTGGAGGGAAGGCCCACTGCTCCACGGGAAGAGGAGGAGGCAGAGGCGGGTGGGTGGGTAGGGGAGGGGAGCCACCACCACCACTGCTGCCTCAGGTGGGGAGAAGCCCTGCTGCTCCATGGGAGGAGGCGGAGGCAGGTGAGGGGGAGGGAGCCGTCATGCTGGAGGCTGGAGGAGGTGGTGGTGGAGGGATTATTTACATGTCCATCTCCAAAGGGTGAGCGGGGGCTGGCGGGGGTAGGAGGCCATGTAAACACTCCCTTAAACACTCTGTCATTTATGATGGGCAATTGGCTAGTAATAATAATAAAATCTGATTGGGTTCAATTGCTTCAAAACATTTTGCTTGTTAAGAATAGTTTTGAACCAGGGAAGTCATCAAAACTTATTCTTTTCTGAAAACTTATTTTGGTTTTGACAAATTACTTAATTTTTTTTTTTTTTTTTTACCAAAAAAAATGTTTTGTAAGATTTCTAGTCAGTTCTATAAATCTGGCCTCTAAAACCTTACTTCATATATTGCTATCAGTTCTTTTCACCTCCTTTTATGGACGACACTGCCAAGGAGGAGCCCTAAACCTACATGTGAAGACTACATAAAGGAAGCCAACAGAAAACTCTCTGACACCACCTACTACAAAGAACTACAAGAAGATCCTACTTCCTTTTCACCGTGAAACTCAAAAATACCATAAAATCATTTCCATCAGAACTACAAGAAAAACTACAGACCTTGATTCCCCCACTACCCAACCCAGGGACTTTTTACATGCTCCCTAAAATCCACAAACAAGGCAACACTGGCAGACCTATCATATCCAACCTTGGGACCCTAACTGAGGAAGTATCAGGTTTTGTCAAAGCAATCCTAAAACACCTGTCACCCAAAGAGCAAGTTTTGTTCAAGACACTACAAATTTTCTACCGAAACTTAAAAACATAGACCACCTTCCCAGCACCACCCTCCTAGCTACTATGGATGTTACCAGCTTATATACCAACATCCCATACCAGGATGGCATCCAAGCCTGCC